ATTAGTAACGGTTTAGTGTCACGTGAACGGAACGTGGCCAATTCGTTACCAGTATAGCACACACCGGTTGTGTGTTGGAGAGTGAATCCACGAAATTTACAATTGTGGATTTACAATTGTGGATTTGCTCTCCAACGCAGCGGTGTGTGCTGCACTAGTGACGAATTGGCCACGTTCTGTTTACGTGACGCTAAACCGTCATGAATGGCCCGTTTCGGGTGGTGGTGGTGGTGGCGGGTTTAATGACGCTACATTTATATTTTCCCGATCTAACCCAAACAAACCTCTATTATGGACTTCCTGTATTATCACCGGGGAAATGCTAAATGAAGCCTATTGCCTATTCATATTTTGTCGTCATCATCATCATGGTTTGAGACGCAACATATTGTGCTAAGAATCCAGGTCTGAATTCCTTTTTTTTTGCAAATGGATTTTAACCGCGTGCGGACAGGAACACATAGCAAAAGCAAACTGGGCATGCCAAGCAAGTTAAGTGAGCCTCGCAGACTTAAGCATGACAATCACATTGTTCTCACACCGCATTAGGAGATGCATTTGCAGAACAGTTGCACATGAAGCGAGTGGGTTTTTCTTCTGATTTCAGTTTGGGTGTGCACACTCACACACCTACACGCGCACACATACAACAACAACAACCGCCATTCGACACTAAGTGGCGGTGACGTCACCACGATGCTTGTGCCAGGCTATGTGCACCTTGAGGCCACGTGAAGTGTCGAACGCCCGCTGGCAGGATGTCACGGGACAGGCCCAGGTGCCACGGGTCGACTGACTGAGATGACTGAGATGCCTGGCTGATGCACCACCTGTGCCCTCTCCTGTGCCAACTTGCTGTGCGTTAGCCACCCGGCGCTCCGCTCGTTGTTGTGAGCATCGCTCCTCTGCCCTCTGTTGTTGTTGAAGGGCGACTGCCTCCAACTGCCCAGTAGCGTCCTTCACGAGCCTCCTCCACAGAGGCTGACCTTGACACCGCTGGTACCAGTCATCGGCAAGTCTACTCAGCTCCACGTCCTCCTGTATCACGTCACTCCATCTCTTCTCTAGCCTGTGCCGCGCCCGTTTAGCCCCCTCCATCCGGCCAAACAAAAGCTGTTTTGGCATGCGGTGACTGGGCATGCAGGCTACATGACCCAGCCAATGCAGTCTTGCCTGCCGGAGGAGCTTACCGATGGGACTTTGTCCAGATCTTTCGAGGATTGTGAGCTCCTCACACAATCCAGCCTGGTTAAACCCAGGATGGATCGCAGGCAGGCCAGCCTAAATGTTTCTAACCGGCGAAGATGTTCCATTAGGGGGATCCACGTTTCGCAAGCGTAGAGAAGGGAGGGAATGACCGTGGCCGAGAAGACCTGCAGCTTAGTGCGGAGCGACAGACCAGGTAGCTTCCACACAGCGTTACGCAACCGATGAAAAGATAATGCTGCTCGACTGATTCGGAATAAGACCTCTGCTGTCAAACCGGAGTCGGTCATGAGCACATTGCCCAGGTATGGGAAACTCGCCACTCTCTCCACAACTGCCTCATCACCAATTGGAAGTTGTGGGGGTGGAATGTCCGATGGTACAAAATACCCAGGCAGGTGCTTAGTTTTGGTGGGGCTGATGGTAAGGCCCAAATTTCTTAGTGGCACGCTCCAGGTTCAGCAGCAGCGCCTCCAACTCCTCCTCTGAGTGAGCAACAATTACCAGATCATCGGCATACATAACGTGGTTGAGCAATAGGGAGCCATCCCTTGACCACACCCGGGCATCGATCAGCCTCCCATTATATCTGTACCAAATGGAAATTCCCCTGGTACAGCAACTGAAGGCTTCACGAACTACGTGGTCGAAATAAATGTTAAATAATGTTGGAGCCAGAGGACATCCCTGTCGCACCCCAAGGTGTACAGGGAATGGCTCTTACTCCCAGCCACATAGTTTTACCCAGGCCTGCTCACCATCATGAAGGTCCTTAATGAGCATCAGCAGAGGGTCAGGGACTCCGAAAGCACAAAGAACAACCCAGAGCCCAGGCCTACTGATGGTATCATAGGCCTTGACCAGGTCAATAAGGCAGAGATGTAGGTCTTGTTGGAATTCCCTACACCTCTGCTGTAGCAGACGGACAGAAAATATGACATCTGTGCAGGACCGCCTTTCCTGAAACCGCATTGGGATTCCGCAAGCCTCTCCTTAGCGTGCCTAGCAAGCAATGTTGAATAATCCTTGCCAGGACGTTTCCCAGCACACTGAGGAGTGAGATGCCCCTGTAGTTGTTAGAGTTTGTGCGGCCCCCCTTCTTAAAGAGGGGGACCGCACAGAGGGGGACCACTAGGGCATCCCTCCAATCCTGCGGAACCCGTCCAGTGGCCCAGACTGTTGTTGTGATGTCATGTAGGGCAGTCTGTGCACAAACGCCACCCTCCCTCAGCATTTCGCTTGGGAGATCATCTCTTCCCGGTGCCTTTACACTCACAGGGGGTGACTTCCTCTTCCAATATTTGAGGCACCGCAGCCTCAGCAGGGTCATCCCCACTTTGTCACATGATGTTTTCCAGGCTGAGGGATTCCCCTTCCCCCAGGACTTCACAGAAATGCTCAGCAAATCTGCACACCTGTTCCTGGGGGTCGGAGATTGGATCACCGTTCTTTCCCCTAATGATGGTATGGTAATAGGTGTGGCACTGCAGATTATGTTTTTGATGGAGTTAAATAGGGATTTGTGATCGCAGGCCATTGAGGCAGACTCCATCTCCTCAGCAACCCGCGACCTCCACCCATCCTTGCAGCGCCTCACGGCTCTCCGAACCTCCGAGCGAAGGCTGCGGTGAGCCTCCTCATTCTCCCACGTGGGATGCTGTAGCCGATGAAAGTGGGCCTGTCGCTTTTTCTCACCATCCTGAACACCTCCTCTGTCAGCCAGGGTGTCTGGGCAGGTCTGGACCGCGTACCCAAAGCAGCCATTTCAGCTGCATGAGTCACAGTCCTAAACCTCGCCCATTTACCCTCGATATCAGGAGGAGTGGGGGACGATGCCAACCTCAGCCGCAAGCGATGATTAAATTCTCGCTTGCAACTTCCATCAGCTAGCTGAGACCAGGTCACCTTAAGTTGGAATGGGGTCCTGGGTGTACACCCACCACCGGAGTGGAAGAATGGTAGGCGCATCTTACAGATGACAAGTCGATGATTAGAGGGCAGATCAGCTCCACGGTAGGTCCTGGTGTCAAGGACATGGGCTCGCATCCGCTGTAGTCCAGCAGATGTTCCTGCTTGGACCCGGCATGCATCCATGATGTTGTGTGGATGCGCCGATGCCGGAACAGCGTGTTGGTAATTATAAGCCCATGGGCTGCACACAAATCTAGCAGTCTACTACCGTTGTCATTGAGCTGATCTGGCCCATGCCTTCCAATCACTCCAGACCAGGTGCGAGCATCATGACCAACTCGGGCATTGAAGTCACCCAACAAAATGACTCTATCCCGAGGGGCCACTTTAGCCAGCACCTGTGACAGAAGATAATACAAGGCATCTGACTCATCGGCCTTGCCTGCATCCCTCCACGGATATTCGTCTTCGGTGGGGCAATAAGTAACCACGACCACCACTCCTCACCTCCGGTTGATGGGAAGGCGAGTCCAAAGTAGCCTGGGGCTTACAGCTTCCCACACCTCACTGCCATGCTCCAACACCCCCTTCATTCTTTTGTTCAGAAGAAGAGCACCTCCCTGTTGTTTGGCAGTCTCCTGCCATAAGAAGAGGCCTGTCCACCCCTCATGGTGGCATGAGCCAGAGCCTAAATGCCACAGAGATCCAGTCAGTACCGGTCCAGCTCCCGATAAAGGAGTGGCAGCCTCTCCTCCACAGTGAGCGTTCGAACATTCTACGTGGCCATCCGTAGTGGCTTTTTGTTGTTTCTGAAGGAGCCCCGAGGGTGACGATTCAATCTCCTGGCTCCGCCAAATGGGGTTTGGCCAGGAGACATCATAGACGCCTGTCCCCCCGGGGCCTCCGGCACAAGCTTGTTAATAAAACATTTCTTTCGTGGTTTAGTGGTAATTGATTGAAGGTGGAGGGGTTACCAGCCCCTCGCACCCGTCCAGAGCTCCTATTTAGCCGCTGTGGTGGTCACAGAAGCCATGAGGCGAAAGGCCAATCGGAATTGGCCCTCCCCCCCCCCCCTCAGCACTGTCCACGACAACGTTGCCTGTCCGGCACCACACCTACACACACACACAAACACACTGACACACACACGCACGCACGCACGCCCCCCTCTAACAGAAGAATCACGCTTTTTTTCTCTTTTTGTAACCAAATTGACCAAACGGTGCGCACTTGCAGGGATGTCACGATACCACGTGCTGGGACACCGACATCTCAATCAGCCCCGTGGTGGCGATGCTTCGTGGTGGCGGCCGTGGTGGCGGCGTTGGTGCAGCGGTCAGCGCTAACGCCGCGCTACGAACCTGGCGGCACGGGTTCGATTTTCCCGCTCACTGCCAACAGCACGTGACGATTATAAGAAACCGGTCCCGGGCCTCCCCTGGGATCGACTCAGCCGCGAACGAGTAACCCGGCGCTGCGCTTAAAAAACATCGCCGCCGTACGGAGACAAAGGCGGCCGGGCGTGGCGCTCGCCAGCCACTCCCTCGTGTGCCGTTCCGGTGCCTTCCGTCGGTGCTGCCACTCGCTACTGACAGCACTTGGCCCCAGCAGTCTGTTCAGGCTTCGTGGCGGATCTCTGCCTTTGGCGTTCGGTTGGCCGAAGTTGGCGTGACGGGCGATGTGGCTGGGCTGCCGTGCTGGTGACGGTTGCTGCGGTGACGGTTGCGGTGGATGCGGTCGTGGTGATTGTGGTGGTGGTGGTGGTGGCGGTGGTGGTGACGGTTGCGGCGGGTTGCGGAGTTTACCGGCCGACGCGGCGGGGCTGCCGTGCCGGCGATGTTTGCGATGGTGATCGTGGTTGTGATGGTGACGGCCGCGTTTACCGGCCGACGTGGGCGTGGTGGGCGACGTGGCGGGGCTGCCGTGCTGCCCGGCGGCGCTGGTGGCCGACACGGCCGTCTTGGCCGCGTACAGGTTGGCCTCCTCCTGGAACTTGCCGATGTTCTTCTTGTACCGGATCCGCTTGTTGCCGAACCAGTTGGACACCTGCACGCACAGTGACGGCCGTAGCCACGGTGACCGCCGTAACCACGGTGACCACCGTAACCACGGTAACCATCGTACCCACGGTGACCGCCGTAACCACGGAGACCACCGTGACCACCAAACCCACGGTGACCACCGCAACCACGGAGACCACCGTGACCACCAAACCCACGGTGACCACCGTAGCCACGGTGACCACCGTAGCCACGGTGACCAACGTAACCACGGTGACCACCGTAGCCACGGTAACCACCAAACCCACGGTGACCACCATAACCACGGTGACCACCGTAGCCACGGTGACCAATGTAACGACAGTGACCACCGTAGCCACGGTGACCATCGTACCCACGGTGACCATCGTACCCACGGTGACCACCGTAACCATGGTGACCACCGTAACCACGGTGACCATCGTACCCACGGTGAAGACTGTAACCACAGTGACCACCGTGCCCTAGCGAGGGAGAAATCTGCATCGCTGTGTCACAGGCCTGGAGAGAGCCACCACCACTACCGTCACCACCACCACCACCACCAATATCACCACCACCACCACCAATATCACCACCACCACCACCAACGCAACCACCACAGCCATCCAGGGGGGATGCGGTGGTGGTGGCGGTAGAGAAACAGTCGCTCTCGGAGCCTGCACGTTATCGTCGTCGTCGTCATCGTCGTTGTCATTATCGTCGTTATTGTTATCATCGTCGTCATCATCATCGTCGTCGTCATCATCCTCATCGTCATCATCGTCGTCATCATTGTCGTGATCATCGTTGTTATCGTCGTTATCATCATCGTCATCATCGTCATCCTCATCGTCATCATCATCGTCATCAATGTCGTCATCATCGTTGTTATCGTGGTTATCATCATCATCGTCATCATCATCATCATCGTCATCATCATCGTCGTTATCGTCATCATCATCCTCATCATCGGTATCACCATCGTCGTCATCTTCATCCTCATCGTCATCATCGTCGTCGTCATTGTCGTCATCACCGTTGTTATCGTCGTTATCATCATCATCGTCATCGCCATCATTGTCGTCATCATCGTTGTTATCGTCGTTATCATCATCGTCATCATCATCCTCATCATCATCCTCATCGTCATCATCATCATCATCATCGTTGTTATCCTCATCATCATCCTCATCATCGTCATCATCATCCGCATCGTCATCATCATCATCATCATCGTCGTTATCGTCATCATCATCATCATCGTCGTTATCGTTATCATCATCATCCTCATCATCGGCATCACCATCGTCGTCATCGTCGTCGTCATCATCGCCGTCGTCATCATCGCCGTCGTCGCGCTATCATCGGTGGTGGTGGTAGCGGCGGCAGCGGCGACGGTAGCCGCCTCCACACCTGCGACACAGTGATACAGCATTTCTTGGCCAACTCCTCCTTGGCCTCCTCGCTGGGGTAGGGGTTGCTGAGGTGTGAGTAGAAGTACTCGTTCAGGATCTCCGTCGCCTGCTTGCTGAAGTTGCGCCGCTTTCTCCTGCGGTGTCGCGCCCACACGGGGAGAGGAGATGGGGAGAGGAGATGGGGAGAGATGGAGAGGAGATATGGAGAGGAGATGGGGAGAGGGAGGGGAGAGATAGAGAGGAGATGGGGAGAGGAGATGGGGAGAGGTAGGGGAGATGGAGGGGAGAGATGGAGAGGAGATGGGGAGAGGAGATGGGGAGAGATGGAGGGGAGATGGGGAGAGGGAGGGGAGAGATGGAGGGGAGAGATGGAGAGGAGATGGGGAGAGGGAGGGGAGAGATGGAGAGGAGATGGGGAGAGGGAGGGGAGAGATAGAGAGGAGATGGGGAGAGGGAGGGGAGAGATAGAGAGGAGATGGGGAGAGATGGAGAGGAGATGGGGAGAGGAGATGGGGAGATGGAGGGGAGATGGGGAGAGGAGATGGGGAGAGGGAGGGGAGAGATGGAGAGTAGATGGGGAGAAAAGATGGGGATAGATGGAGAGGAGATGGGGAGAGGGAGGGGAGAGATAGAGAGGAGATGGAGAGGAGATGGGAAGAGGAGATGGGGAGATGGAGGGGAGATGGGGAGAGGAGATGGGGAGAGGGAGGGGAGAGATAGAGAGGAGATGGGGAGAGGAGATGGGGAGAGATGGAGAGGAGATGGGGAGAGGGAGGGGAGAGATGGAGGGGAGAGATGGAGAGGAGATGGGGAGAGGAGATGGGGAGAGGAGATGGGGAGATGGAGGGGAGAGATGGAGAGGAGATGGGGAGAGGGAGGGGAGAGATGGAGGGGAGAGATGGAGAGGAGATGGGGAGAGGGAGGGGAGAGATGGAGGGGAGAGATGGAGAGGAGATGGGGAGAGGAGATGGGGAGAGGGAGGGGAGAGATAAACAGGAGATGGGGAGAGGGAGGGGAGAGATGGAGAGGAGATGGGGAGATGGAGGGGAGAGATGGGGAGAGGAGATGGGGAGATGGAGGGGAGAGATGGGGAGAGGAGATGGGGAGAGGGAGGGGAGAGATGGGGAGAGGAGATGGGGAGATGGAGGGGAGAGATGGGGAGAGGAGATGGGGAGATGGAGGGGAGAGATGGGGAGAGGAGATGGGGAGAGGAGATGGGGAGATGGAGGGGAGAGATGGGGAGAGGAGATGGGGAGAGCCGTGGTGAGCAGGGGTGACCATGCTGCGTCACTCGGCACCTCTCACACGATCAGTGCCGGAGTCTTTAATCATCTCCTACCCACCTCTCTGGGGTGAACACAATCATCTCCTCCTACCTAGCTCCGATACCCCCCCCCCCCACGTACTCCCCCTACCCACGTACCCCTCACGTACCCCCCCCCACGTACCCCCCCACGTACCCCTTACATACCCCCCCCCCGCACGTACCCCCCCCCACCCCCACGTAACCGCCTCACTACCCCCCCACCCCCCACGTACCCCCCCCCCACCCCCCCGCACCGCGTCTCACCGCGCGTCGAGGAACCGCGAGCGCAGGATCATGACGGCCTCGCACGTGCTCTGCTTGAGCTGCATCTGGATGGAGCTGAACTTGCGGTGGATGATGCCCACCATGCGCTCGATCTCCTTGGGCGAGATGGGCCGCGTGCGGCTCTGCTCCCGCAGCAGGTTCATCACGTGGGTCGTGAACTCGTTGCACGCCTGCCGCCCGCAAGCACACAAAGGCGAAGGTTCAGCGCCGCCGGGTAGCCTTCAGAGAGCGTCGGGGCAAGTGCTGCTGGCGAGCGGCAAACGGCGAAGGCCGGCGCGAGGGCGGGGGGTGTGGGTGGCCAACACCGCTCCCGGCCGCCTTTGTCTCCCTAGTGGGTAATGTTTTTTTATTTTGATTTAAAGCTTTCGTGACTGCAGGGATTCATATTCTTGTTTCTTTCGGTAAAGTCACCGCATAGAAGGGAAACAATAAAATAATAAAAATATAAAACAATAAAATTATCACGACGTTTCGACTGCAACACCTGATGATGATTGCTGCTTGTGTAGCAGTCGAAACGTCGTGAGAATTTTATTGTTTTATATTTTTATTATTTTATTGTTTCCCTTCTACGTGACTTCACTGAAAGAACCATGAATACAAGAGGTTCATATTCTCGATTCTTTCGGTAAAGTCACCACGTAGAAGGAAAACAATAAAATAATAAAAATATAAAACAATAAAATTCTCACGACGTTTCGACTGCAACGCAAGCAATCATCATCAGGTGTGAAAACCACAACAAGGAAATTTTAACCACCCGTGGGTACTCAACTGAGGCCGAGTCGACCTAGGGGAGGCCCAGGACCGGTTCAGATAATCCTCACGTGGTGTTGGTGGTGGCCGTGAGCGGGAATCGAACTCGGGTCGCCGGGTTCGTAACGCAGCGTGGCGCTAACCGCTGCACTATCGTCGTTATCGTCGTCGTGAGCATCGTTAACGTCGTCATTGTCATCGTCACTATCATCGTTGTCGTCATCGTTGTCGTCATCGTTGTCGTCAACGTCGCTAGCGTCGTCATCATTATCATCGTCGTCACCGTTATTGTCGTCGTGAGCATCGTTAACGTCGTCATTGTCATCGTCGCTATCATCGTTGTCGTCATCGTTGTCGTCATCGTTGTCGTCAACGTCGCTAGCGTCGTCATCGTTATCATTGTCGTCACCGTTATCGTCGTCGTGAGCATCGTTAACGTCGTCATTGTTATCGTCGTTATCGTCATTATCGTTGTCATTGTTGTCGTCAACGTCGCTAGCGTCGTCATCGTTATCATCGTCGTCACCGTTATTGTCGTCGTGAGCATCGTTAATGCCGTCATTGTCATCGTCGCTAACGTCGCTATCGTCATCCTTGTCATCAACGTCGCTAGCGTCGTCTTCGTTATCATTGTCGTCACCATTATCGTCGTCGTGAGCATCGTTAACGTCGTCATTGTCATCGTCACTATCGTCGTTATCGTCGTCATCATTGTCGTCAACGTCGCTAGCGTCGTCATCGTTATCATCGTCGTCACCGTTATTGTCGTCGTGAGCATCGTTAATGCCGTCATTGTCATCGTCGCTAACGTCGTTATCGTCGTCATCGTTGTCGTCATCGTTGTCGTCAACGTCGCTAGCGTCATCATCGTTATCATCGTCGTCACCGTTATCGTCGTCGTGAGCATCGTTAATGTCATCATCGTCATCGTTGTTGACGTCGTTATCGTCGTCATCGTTGTGGTCAACGTCACTAGCGTCGTCATCATTATCATCGTCGTCACCGTTATCGTCGTCGTGAGTATCGTTAACGTCGTCATTGTTATCATCGCTATCGTTGTTATCATCGTCGTCATCGTTGTCGTCAACGTCGCTAGCGTCGTCATCGTTATCATCGTCGTCACCGTTATCATCGTCGTGAGCATCGTTAACACCGTCATTGTCATCGTCGCTATCATCGTTATCGTCGTCGTCGTCGTTGTCGTCAACGTCGCTAGCGTCGTCATCATTATCATGGTCGTCACCGTTATCGTCGTCGTGAGCATCGTTAACGCCATCATTGTTATCGTTGTTGACATCATCAGCATCGCTATCGTCATCATCATCATCACCATCGTCAGCGTCGTCATCGTTATCATCGTCGTAAGCGTCGTTCACGTCGTCATTGTCATCATCGCTAACGTCGCTAACGTCGCTATCGTCATCGTCGTGAATCGTCACCGTCGCTGGCATCGTCATCAATAACATCGTCATCATTAACGTCGTCATCGTCGCTGTAGTTGTCGTCGTCGTAAGCATCGCTGACGTCATCGCGGTGGTTGTCATCGTCGTCATCGTCACAATCGTGATCATCGTTTTCGTCGCTTGCGTCGTCGTTGCAATCATCGCCAGCGTCGTCACCGCTATGATCGTCGTCACCGTTAGCGTCGTTAGCATCGGAATCGTTGTTCACCTCGTCATTGTCGTCATCGTCATCATCGACATTATCGTAATCATCACCGTCATCATCGTTACCGTCATCGTCATTGCAGTCGTCGTTATCGTCCATGTCGTCTCGCTCGTGACTGCACTTCTCTCGCTCCGTCATCACCACCCAGCTGGTGGTGGTGGTGATGGCGGCGGTGGTGATTGTGGTTGTGGTAGCGGTGCCGGTGGTGGCTATGGTGACGGCGGCGGTGGTGGCTATGGTGACGGCGGTGATGGTGGCTATGGTGATGGCGGTGATGGCGGTGGTGGTTGCGATAGCGGTGCCGGTAGCTATGGTGGTAATGGTGGTGGCGTTGGTAGCGGCGATTGTGATAGCCGTGCCGGTGGTGGCGATGGTGGTGACAGTCGCGGTGGTGGTAGCGGCGGCGATGGTGGCAATGGTGGTGACCGTGGCGGTGGTGGTAGTGGCAGTGGTCATTGCGACAGCGGTGCCAGGTGGTGGCGACGACGGTAGTGGTGGTGGCAGTGGTGACGACGGTAGCGGTGGCGGTAGCGGTGGCGACAGTGGTAGCGGTGGTGGCAGTGGTGACGACGGTAGCGGTGGCGGTGGTGGTAGCGGTGGCGGTGACGATGGTAGCGGTGGTGGTGGTGGCGAGGACGGTAGTGGTGGCGGTAGCGGTGGCAGTGGTGGCGACAACAGTAGCGGTGGTGGTGGTGGCGACGATGGTAGCGGTGGCGGTAGCGGTGGCGGTAGTGACAGTAGCGGTGGCGGTGGTGGCGACGACGGTAGCGGTGAGTAACGCTGCCGTCGGGCGGGGCCGGGCAGGACCACCTGCTCGTATTTCTCGAGCTCCGTGTGGTAGATCTGGCGGATCTGCGCCAGCTTGGCACGGTAGTCCGAGTGCTCGATGGAGTTGTCGGCGTTCGGGCCGCCGCCCCCGCCTCCTCCTCCTCCTCCGCCGCCGCCGACCGCGGCGGCCGCGGCGGCCGCGGCGGCCGCCGCTGAGCCGCCCCCCTTCTCGGGGCCGGCCACCCCCTCGGCCAGCAGCATGTTGTCCAGACGCATGAGCTGCGGATCCGGGGGCTCCTCCTCCTGGGCCCCCCGGATGCTAAGCACTGTGGGGGGCAGGGGGAAGGGAGTTTGAGGCGGGGGGCACAAAGCGGTCCAACGATGATTTATCTCAGCTCCCACTGCCCTGGACTCCATCCCAATGCATCTCCTCCATCCCTGGACTCCATCCCAATGCATCTCCTCCATCCCTGGACTCCATCCCAATGCATCTCCTCCATCCCTGGACTCCATCCCGATGCATCTCCTCTATCCCTGGACTCCATCCCGATGCATCTCCTCCATCCCTGGCCTCTATCCCGATGCATCTCCTCCATCCCAGGACTCCATCCCAATGCATCCCCTCCATCCCTGGACTCCATCCCAATGCATCTCCTCCATCCCTGGACTCCATCCCAATGCATCTCCTCCATCCCTGGACTCCATCCCAATGCTTCTCCTCCATCCCTGGACACCATCCCAATGCATCTCCTCCATCCCTGGACTCCATCCCAATGCTTCTCCTCCATCCCTGGACTCCATCCCAATGCATCTCCTCCATCCCTGGACTCCATCCCAATGCTTCTCCTCCATCACTGGACTCCATCACAATGCATCTCCTCCATCACTGGATTCTATCCCAATGCATCTCCTCCATCCCAGGACACCATCCCAATGTATCTCCTCCATCACTGGACTCCATCACAATGCATCTCCTCCATCCCTGGACTCTATCCCAATGCATCTCCTCCATCCCTGGACTCCATCCCAATGCATCCCCTCCATCACTGGACTCCATCACAATGCATCTCCTCCATCCCTGAACTCCATCCCAATGCTTCTCCTCCATCACTGGACTCCATCCCGATGCATCTCCTCCATCCCTGGCCTCTATCCCAATGCATCTCCTCCATCCCTGGACTCCATCCCAATGCATCCCCTCCATCACTGGACTCCATCACAATGCATCTCCTCCATCCCTGAACTCCATCCCAATGCATCTCCTCCATCCCTGGCCTCTATCCCAATGCATCTCCTCCATCCCTGGACTCCATCCCGATGCATCTCCTCCATCCCTGGACTCCATCCAGATGCATCTCCTCCATCCCTGGACTCCATCCCAATGCATCTCCTCCATCCCTGGACTCCATCACAATGCATCCCCTCCATCCATGGACTCCATCCCAATGCATCCCCTCCATCACTGGACTCCATCACAATGCATCTCCTCCATCCCTGAACTCCATCCCAATGCTTCTCCTCCATCACTGGACTCCATCCCAATGCATCTCCTCCATCCCCTGGCCTCTATCCCAATGCATCTCCTCCATCCCTGGACTCCATCCCGATGCATCTCCTCCATCCCTGGACTCCATCCCGATGCATCTCCTCCATCCCTGGACTCCATCCCGATGCATCTCCTCCATCCCTGGACTCCATCCCAATGCATCTCCTCCATCCCTGGACTCCATCCCGATGCATCTCCTCCATCACTGGACTCCATCGCGATGCATCTCCTCCATCCCTGGACTCCATTCCGATGCATCTCCTCCATCCCTGGACTCCATCCCAATGCATCTCCTCCATCCCTGGACTCCATCCCAATGCATCCCCTCCATCACTGGACTCCATCACAATGCATCTCCTCCATCCCTGAACTCCATCCCAATGCTTCTCCTCCATCACTGGACTCCATCCCAATGCATCTCCTCCATCCCTGGCCTCTATCCCAATGCATCTCCTCCATCCCTGGACTCCATCCCGATGCATCTCCTCCATCCCTGGACTCCATCCCGATGCATCTCCTCCATCCCTGGACTCCATCCCAATGCATCTCCTCCATCCCTGGACGCCATCACAATGCATCCCCTCCATCCATGGACTCCATCCCAATGCATCCCCTCCATCACTGGACTCCATCACAATGCATCTCCTCCATCTCTGAACTCCATCCCAATGCTTCTCCTCCATCACTGGACTCCATCCCAATGCATCTCCTCCATCCCTGGCCTCTATCCCAATGCATCTCCTCCATCCCTGGACTCCATCCCGATGCATCTCCTCCATCCCTGGACTCCATCCCGATGCATCTCCTCCATCCCTGGACTCCATCCCGATGCATCTCCTCCATCCCTGGACTCCATCCCAATGCTTCTCCTCCATCCCTGGACTCCATCCCGATGCATCTCCTCCATCCCTGGACTCCATCCCAATGCATCTCCTACATCCCTGGACTCTATCCCAATGCATCTCCTCCATCCCTGGACTCTATCCCAATGCATCTCCTCCATCCCTGGACTCCATCCCGATGCATCTCCTCCATCCCTGGACTCCATCCCAATGCATCTCCTCCATCCCTGGACTCCATCCCAATGCATCTCCTCCATCCCTGGACTCCATCCCGATGCATCTCCTCCATCTCTGGACTCCATCCCGATGCATCTCCTCCATCCCAGGACTCCATCCCAATGCATTCCCTCCATCTCTCTATACATTGGGGGCGCCGCGATGGCTAGGAGATGAAAACTACCTTGCCTGGTATGCAGTCCCGAGCAGGGAGGAGGGGGTGACGGTGTAAGGGGTTCGTGTACCGACATCACACTCACTCATTTTCACACGCGCACAGATGCACACGCGCACAGATGCACACGCGCACAGATGCACACGCGCACAGATGCACACGCGCACAGATGCACACGCGCACAGATGCACACGCGCACAGATGCACACGCGCACAGATGCACACGCGCACAGATGCACACGCGCACAGATGCACACGCGCACAGATGCACACGCGCATACACACACACACGATATGGTACATCCCACGATAACACGCCCCCCTCACAAGCCAGGTGCCAGTTGTTACCATTGTGCCACACAGGGACAGCTGCCACTAGGGGTGTCCCTAGGCTAGACCACACAGCAGCAGCGACATCGCCTCCCCTACTGACAGACTAACACACAGAGACAGCTGCCACTGGGGGTGCCCCTAGGCTAGACCACACAGCAGCAGCAGCAGCAGCGACATCGCCTCCCCGACTGACAGACTAACACACAGGGACAGCTGCCACTGGGGGTGCCCCAACCACCCCCACGCCTCCAACCCCCCCCCCCCCCAAGCCTATCCCCCAACCACACCCCCCCACCCGCCCAACCCCATCCCCCCAACCACCCCCACACCCCCCCGCGTTTGTCGCGAAAATACAAAATCCGGTCCGAGCGAATTTGAGTCAGCGGAGATTAAAAAAAAAACAAACGCGGTGATATTTTAGAATCGCAAACACATCGCGAACATCACAAACACATCACAAACACATCGCGAACATCGCAAACACATCACAAACATCACAAACACATCACAAATACATCGCAAGCATCACAAACACATCACAAACACATCGCAAGCATCACAAACACATCGCAAACACATCACAAACACATCACAAACACATCACAAACACATCACAAACATCACAAACACATCGCAAACACATCACAAACACATCACAAACACATCACAAACACATCGCAAGCATCACAAACACATCACAAACACATCGCAAGCATCACAAACACATCGCAAACACATCACAAACACATCACAAACACATCACAAACATCACAAACACATCGCAAACACATCACAAACACATCACAAACACATCACAAACACATCGCAAACATCGCAAACACATCGCAAACACATCGCAAACATCACAAACACATCGCGAACATCACAAACACATCGCGAACATCACAAACACATCACAAACACATCACAAACATCACAAACACATCACAAACACATCGCAAACACATCGCAAACACATTGCAAACACATCGCGAACATCACAAACACATCACAAACACATCACAAACACATCGCAAACACATCGCAAACACAGTTCTGTTCCTTCACCTGATGAAGGCCACTTGTGTTGTGGCCGAAACGTCGTGATTTTTGTTGTTTTATTTTTTACCTACGTGACTTTACCGAATAGAACCAAAGAGTATGGATCCTTGCAGTCACGAAAGCTTCACATCTAGAATCATTAAGGACCTTAATGATGGTGAGCGGGCCCAGGTAAAAACTACGTGGCCGGGAATCGGAGCCATTCCCTGTTCACCTTGGGTGCGATAGGGATGTCCTGTGGCTCCCACATTATTGAACATCAATTTCAACCACTTAGTTTGTGAAGCCTTCGATGGCTGATTGATGCCCGGGTGCGGTCAAGGGATGGCTCCCTATTGGTCAACCACGTTATGTATGCCGATGATTTGGTAATAGCTGCTCATTCAGAGGGGGAGTTGGAGACGCTGCTGCTGAGACTGGAGCTTGCCACTAAGAGGTGGGGCCTTACCATCAGCCCCACCAAAACTAAGCACCTGCCTGGGTATTTTGTACCATACTCTACCCCCACAACTCCCAATTGGTGATGGGGCAGTTGTGGAGAGAGTGGGGAGTTTCCCATACCTGGGCAATGTGCTCATGACCGGCACTGGTTTGACAGCAGAGGTCTCACTCCAAATCAGTCGAGCGGCATTATCTTTTAATCAGTTGCGTAACGCTGTGTGGAAGCTACCTGGTCTGTCGCTCCGCACTAAGCTTCAGGTCTTCTCGGCCACGGCCATTCCCTCCCTTCTCTACGCTTGCGAAGCGTGGACCCCCCTAATAGAACATCTTCGCCGGTTAGAAACATTTAAGGTGGCCTGCCTACGATCCATCTTGGATTTAACCAGGCTGGATTGTGTGAGCTCACAAATCCTTGAAGGATCTGGACAAAGTCCCATCGGTGAGCTCCTCCGGCAGGCAAGGCTGCGTTGGCTGGGTCATGTAGCCCGCATGCCAAGTCACCACATGCCTAAACAGCTTTTGTTCGGCCGGAGAGAGGGGGCTAAACGGGCGCGGCACGGGCTGGAGAAGAGATGGAGTGATGTGGTGCAGGAGGATGTGGAGCTGAGTGGACTTGCCGAAGACTGGTACCAGCGGTGTCAAGATCGGCCTCTGTGGAGGAGGCTCGTGAAGGACGCGACTGGGCAGTTGGAGGCAGTCGCCCTCCAACAA